CCCTTTTTTTTTTTTAATTTTACACTTTCAATTCCAAACTTTTTCTTCAGAGGTATTCACAAATTCCTTTTTATTTTTTTTGCATTTCTTGTGTAAATTTTCTCAAAATTGTTTTTTCCCTCTAATCTTCTATGTTTTTTTTTCTTGATTTCTTTAAATGATTTTTTTTATATTTATCGGCTTTGTAGGTTTTATAATTTTGAGTTATTAATTTTGTTGTTTTTGTTTTTTTTTAACCCAGATAACCCGCCGCCGCTACAACCTCTGCCCTTCGGGTGAGCATTTTGTGCGCACTGGGTAAATTTTACACTCACCATATTTCAACTATGATTTTATGTCTAGATACAATGTTAACTTACAAATATCTTTTCTCAATTAAACTTTAAATAATATTCCTTTTAAAAAAATAATTAAAAAACCAACTATTTCATGCCAAACACATACTTTATATTATTTCTAAGAATATTATAATAAACATATAAGGAAAGTACTTAATTGATTTACTAAATATTGACCTATAATATCCTAGTTGGAATTAGAGAAAATATATCCAAGAACTAAATATTTTTCACTCCACCACTATAAATTGTTACATACCTTCTCTTTATTCCTTCTTTGATTTTTTTTCAATTCCAAACTTTTTCTTCAGAGGTATTCACAAATTCCTTTTTATTTTTTTTGCATTTCTTGTGTAAATTTTCTCAAAATTGTTTTTTCCCTCTAATCTTCTATGTTTTTTTTTCTTGATTTCTTTAAATGATTTTTTTATATTTATCGGCTTTGTAGGTTTTATAATTTTGAGTTATTAATTTTGTTTTTTTTTTTTTTTTTAACTCAGATAACCCGCCGCCGCTACAATCTCTGCCCTTCGGGTGAGCACTTTGTGCGCACTGGCTAAACCCCACTGTGTTTGTTGTTGTTGTTGTATCTCTTTATCAGTTCTTAAATTTGCAACACTATTTTTTTTAATAGATTTGATGATTTTAACTTTTATCAAGCCTAAAAAAGGGGGAAATGTTATTTTTTGTTGTTGTTCTTGTTGTGCTTTCCATATAGAATTTAAGATCAAACCTTTAAAGAATGTTTTTTTTTTGAATAATTAATATACATTTATTGATTTTGTAGGTTCAATGATTTAGATTTATTAAACTTGTTGTGTTTACTTCTATTTGCTAATTTTTGAACTTGTTATACCCTCTTTCAAGAATTGATGGTTTTAAAAAAAAAAAATCTTAAAAATAGTCTTTTTCTTGGTCTTTTTATTGTCGTTGTAATTTCCCTTTAGATTAGACCTTCTAAGTGAATTTAAGTGTATACATTATTATTAATTTTTTTCTTTAAGGATATCCTATTTTATGCTTTGAATTCATACTTTTTGAAGGTTGTTTGCTAATTGAGTTGATAATATATCAAGGTTAATCTTTTCTTGGTTAGGTTTATACATAAATAAATAAAAAATAAGAAAAATGCTTAGATCTTGGATTGTTAGATTTTCTTTCAATTGTTTGACTATAAAATATATCACTTCTAATATTTATTTAATTATCATTTAAAATATTATTGATAGATCTACGTTTCAAATATATTTTTTATGATTATTTATGATTGAATACCTTTTATTTTTATGTGATATTATTATTATTATTATTACTATAGAAGGGTCAAAAGAGTTTTCTTTTGACATAATCTTTTTGAATAAGGTTAATATCACAAGATTAGTTATCTTGGGATTGCAGATATTAATTTGATATAATTTAGATGCTCCTTAAACTATTCATTTGCATTTATAACTTTTTCCTTTTTATTTAAAGTGTGTCATTCTTTAACTAATAGCTTGACTATTTGTTTTTATTTATCTAAATAGTTAAATTAAATCTTATTAACCCTCTATTCATTTTATCTTATTGTAGTGCAAAAATGGCTACTAAATCAACAAGACATGCTGCTGAAAAAGTTGCCACTGCTTTTGTGGTTCAATACTATAACATTTTACAAAACCTAATCGACCAATCGTATCGATTTTACAAGGAAAACAGTGTTCTAAGTTGGCCATCGTCCGATGGTGAAACTAAGTCTGTGACAACTTCTGATGTAAGTATTCTAACAGAGAATCTTAGTATTTCAGTTAGTTGACTATAATTTTTTTTGTTTTTAACTTTGAATAAAATGTTGTTTCTATTTTTTGATTTTTGCTCAACATTTTTTAAATTTTAGGGCATAAGTGATTTTATCATGTCATCACACTTTAAGGGTAGCAAAGTTGAAGTCAAAACTATTGACTCTCAATTATCTGTTGCTGGTGGTGTTTTGGTGATAGTTATGGCTTATTTAATTGGGCAAGACAAGTCAAGAAAAAGGTTTTCTCAAACTTTTTTTCTTGCTCCACAAGAGACAGGATACTATGTGTTTAATGATATTTTTAGATTTATTGGTGAAGACAAATCTTCAACAATTGTTGAGGAAAATGGTTCAATTGCTACTCCTTTAGGTATGTCTTATAATCACCTCTTAGATGACATGATTGTATAAATATTTAATTTGTTAGCGCGTAGAAGTTTAGCCTTTATTATAGATTATATTAAGTTGTTCTCCATTTGGATTATTATAGCTACTCAGAGCAAAGCTGAAAACAATGTTGATGATGAAGTCGATCAGAAGCCTTCAAGCCCAAAAAAAGAAGAAGAACAAAAAAAGAAGGCCCTTGTGGTCCCCGTCATCGTTGAGAACGAGGCTCCAAAAATTACCTATGCTTCAATGGTTAGTCCTACTTTTTTGGATCGTTTGATTCACGTGCTAGTTATATAAAGATTATAAGAATGTTCTTAAATTGTAATTTTACTTCTTAAGTTTTGTCTAATTCGAAATATTTTCTATAGATAAAGCAAGGTAGGTCCTCGCCACCAAAAAATGTTGGCCTACCATCGGCTCCTAAAAAGTCTAGTTCGAGTGATGTGTTGAAAGTTGCAAGTACTCCTTCAACCAGAGTTGCGCAGGACAATTATCATAATGACATCGAATGTAAATTTCTATTGTTACAATAGTCAAATAATTGATGAAATTTTTATCATATTAAGTCAATTGTTGAATTATTTGTTTACATTTTACAGATAAATCGATATTTGTTGGAGGACTACTACCCAACACAACAAAAAATGATTTATATGCTGTTGTTAAAGAGTTTGGACCCCTTCACATTCAAGACGTTCAACTAAAAGCTTATGAAGTATACGAGGTATATATGTATCACTTTCATTTTATTTTTCGATTTATTATTTGCTTAAAACTTATTTTTTGTTTAATGATTAAGCATTTATATATTGGATATTTTTTAATGTAGGATGGATATTGTTGTGGTTTTGTGCATTTTCAAGATGCAATTTCTGCTCAAAAGGCTGTCCATGTAATGAATTTTACACATTTTATTCTTCAAAAATATTTATCGATTTAAAGTTTATTGATCGTTTTTTAATGTTTGTCTTTTTTCTTTAATGTTTGATTCTAGACTCATCACGTTATGGTGAAGGGGAAACGAGCTTACATGAGATACAAGAGAACTAACAAAGGTACTTATATATATATATATATATATATATATATATCTGCTTGTCGTTTTATTTTGTTATAATACAGGATGACATTATAAGCATCAATTATTGATTTCACAGTTTGAACTGATGACCTATAGGTCATAGAGATGATTTTAATGTTACTCCAAGACTTTCTTTCTTTATTATATCGTAATCATATAGTATTTAAATTTTATTCAGTTCACGGAGAAAGGGCAAATTCTCCATCGGAGAGAGGTGAATTTCGCGGTGGTCAACGTTCGAGAAGCCGGCCTCAAAGTTCTGATGGACGTTGGGGAGAAGGTTACCAACAAAAGAACTATAATTAGTGTTGTTTTAGGCTTAATTAATTACTTCCGCTTTAGGACTTCTCGGAGATTAATCGATCTATCTTAGTTACGACCGGAGACAGATCGGGACGAGCTGCATCCTATTTAGATGTTTTAGTTAGGGCGGAAAGCTATCAAATCTTGTTATGGTTTTATTACATGTTCATGTTGAAGGTACAATGTTTTCGTTTTTGGATGGTTTTAAAAACTAATACTACTTCAACTTTATAGATTTTAATATCTATATAGTTTCAACTCATTTTGAAGTTGCTTCAATAGTTTATTGTATATTTGTATTTGACTTTTGTTTAGGTAATGATATCGAGATATTATTACCTAGGTTCCTAAATATAGAACGAACTAAAATGCATGTGGCTAGTAGTTATTATATGTTACATTTTCAATAGACACGTAAATCATTTATGGCCTCACTTTTTTTTTTAGAGAAAAAGAAATATTTGGACTTCATTATAGTAGGTTGGATCTTTTTTTTTTTTTAATTATATAGTTATATTCTATTTATTTCTTTTGGTCCACCTTTCATTTTCAATAACTAACTACGTGGTCATGGTGACTAAATTTATGATAACCATATATTATTCCACCTATATTTTTCTCTCTATCTAAGTATTATAAGAAATATAGCTAATAATCATATATTAGCTATATTGTTTTTGTGTGATTTAGATCTCATAAGTTCGAGTCGTAGAATCAATCATTAATGTTTGCATTAGGATAGACTTCCTACATTACACCCTAAGGGGTGCGATCCATCTTCAAATCCTGCGTAAACGTGAAATGTTTAGTGCACCAAAATATATTTTTTTTCTTAAATTTTGTCTAAACTCTAATATATCTATGGCATTATCCAGAAATGTTTTTTGTTTTTTTTTTGGTATGAGAGATTAGAGCTAGTATTCCATTAATAGCATGTTTGGAATTTCCCATTTATGTGTTTTGAATTCTCGAATAGCGATATCGTTAGTAATTGAGTTCTGAATTTAAATTTTTGCACATATTGGGCTAAAGTCACTGGTTAAGCCAAACCTGTAGGTAACCTTCTAGCTTCGCCCCTGATTTCAAGACTTGTTAATTATCATAGAATATGGAGTTTTGGGTTGTTGTAGCAGCTGCAGGAGCAGGTTATGTAGCACAATATTTGCAGAGTTCATCAGAGGAAAAGGACAACTTTTTAGTACATAACAAGAATTTGTTGCACCAATTATGCGAAAAAGTGTGTCCGTTTCACATATTAGCTCGAAAAAGAGCTAAAAAGGAAGTCCCCGATGAAGGGGTTTTCAGATTCAGACAGCTTAATCTTGATTCATCAGAATGCCTCGAGAAAGATTCAATTTTTCCATCCTCTACAAATTATGAGTGTGCAATTCAAAGTAATAAAGATTCTGGTGGATCATTCAATACAACAGGTTCTAACTTCAAAAACCATATGAAGTTTATTTGGATTTAACGTATATATACTGACAGCGTTACAGTATATGTGTTTTTTGACATGTTGTGGCACGTAACATGCCTTATTTTCAAGGTTATTGTTTACATGTATTTGTGGTTTGAAGTTATCTATAGTTATCATTTAGGTGACGATGTGATGTTAGTATATATAAGTTAAACTGTACTCATTTCAATTGATGTTATATATTCTTGTTTCAGTTTCTTCTTATTGTATACATATCAATTGTTTCCACTCAGTTTCTACTTATTGCATACTTACCAGATCATATGAGTCAAGGGTATTTCGGAAATAGCCTCTCTACCTTCACGAGGTAGGGGTAAGGTCTACGTACACTCTACACTCCTACTCTCTCCAGGCCCCGCTATGAGATTTCACTGGATATGTTGTTGTAGGTTGAATGAGCTGTTCTTCTGCTCTCTAGTCCCTTTTTTTATGGTTTGGTTTCAAAATTCCTTCTTCACATTTCTTGTGAGATATAGAATTTGTTGAAAATTTATGCAAAGTTATCTATTTTCGAGTGTATTGTCATCCGGTTGCTCTGTCCATTTGGAGAAACACAATTGAAGAACATGAGTTTATTGTTATTCTGATGATCTAATGGATCTCGCCAAAAACCTATGTTGCTCGAACTCTTAAAAAATTCCACTAGGTGAATATATAATCCTTTTGGGAGGATTCAACACGAGTGCAACAATATTTTTGTAGAGTTCGAGCAACATAGGCCAAAACATAAAGCAATGTAGTTACCTTCAAGATTTTGACTAAATAGAATGGTTCTATCTAAGCCAAAACTTTTTGTTGCTCGGACTCTTTAACAAATGTGACTAGGTATCATTTTTGGAGTATTCAACATGAGTATGACAACATTTTTGGAAAGTCCGAGCAACCAATTTAGTTATCTAATGCTTTATTTATGTTTCTCCCTTGTCTTGATTCAACCAGGGCTACCAAATGGAATGACTCTATTCTATATGGGAATTGTTAGTGGCATGATGTCTGCTGTTATTGCAAACAGAAAAGAGATAGAAAAGGTGAATGAGAAGTTAAAATGGACCAAGAATTTAGTACAAGAGTTAGAAGAGGAGCTCAATGTGAAAGAGATTGCTAATGATGATTATGAAGATCCAAATCTATATAGTCTCTCTATGTCAACTATTGATGAACCAACAAGACAAACCAGTGAAGCAGAAAAACACGAGTCGATGAGCGAAATTGAGGCAGAGCTTGAAGCTGAATTGGAAAGGTTGGAAATGAGCTTGAAGGTTTCAACCTTTGAAAGAATATCTGATTTTGTTGAGGTAGGCCTGCATTTAGCTATACTTCTACTTATTGGTACTTTTTGAAAATATCATTTTCGAGTCTTTGATTGAGATGACCCCACAAATGGAACGACATGGATAGTGAGGATTTTGTATAGCCGACTCCAACTTGCTTGAGATTGAGGCACAATTGTCATTTTTGATGTCCATGTTGACAAAACTTCTGATTCATAAAAATTTAAAATTTGCAGCTAGATCCAGAAGATGAAATAAATGTGGTTCATGGAGACTTAAAACTAGATTGCCTCAGTGTACAGAGTCCTGATTCATCAGAATCAGATAGTCATACTAGTGGAACTTGGATTGTTCATTCTAAACCTGCCAACTATCCTGTTTCCCCGAGGGAGCTTAGCTCGCGTCTGCATGAGGTAATAGAATCCAGACTAGAAGCTCGAATTAAGGAGCTCGAAACAGCCCTTTATCATAGCCAAAATAGAGTTTGTTCATTGGAAACAGAACATAATCTCTCTCAAAAGGACTTTGCATCGCGGGAATCAGAGTCATCTGAATGTCTACAAAGTCCATATTGGTATCATGAGGCTGATGAAGAGACCATCAGGATCATGCATGGAAGTGAAAATGCTTTTGACACTAATACAAGAATCCCTCCTTTTGATGGAGGATTGATTGATAGCCTAAACGAAAAAAAGGGTTGCCTGGTGCACGAACGTAAGCAGCCTACCTTGATGCAATTGTTAAAGACAGAATCCATGGCTCAAACCCGTGAGCTGCAGGTCACACGGAAACAACATTACCATTGCTCCAAGGTTCCCATTCATTGATAGACCAGATATGATAGGAAAATGATCATATCTATATTATGCTGTCTTCTGTTATTTTTTATGTTATATTGGTATCTTCTTACAACTCTTTTGAGTATAGAGACACAATGTGTAGTGTACATGTAAAGATTGAAGAATTTTGTATTTTGTATAGAACAGCAGACACTGGGGAGAGGGTGTTATTCTGCTTTACTTAAGATGGTGTAGTCTTTGTGCCATGGATTCAAGTTTCAACTGAATCCATCATTTTCGACACAAAACGTAGATGTAAAATGAAAAACATTAAGATCACAATAAACGTTATATCCTGAACTCATAATTTCAACAGTACAACGAGTTCAAAACATTCATGTTTAAGTCATAGATTCGCCTCTGGTCCAAGTCATCACAGAGACGATGAGAAAGGCGTGTACATATGGGGAAAAACTTCATTTCCTGCACAGTCTGCTTTTCTGAATCTAATGCAGAGAAGGGGAATAGTAGCTCAGATAATAGGCAAACTAAAATTCAGTCTCATCAGGTTAGCACATAAAGAGGCTCCAGAACAAGATGAGAGATGATCGTGGCGATTTCCACTCCATCTTCATTATAGATGTTAAGATTTGTTTACAGTGGAAGAAGTTTCTTATGCTTAAAGTAAATCATGAAAGCAATGTATAAGACCAAACAAAAGATTCCAGTGATGATAATAGTCCAGTCAAACCCATCCGGATCGTCAAAAACTGTGGTTTTCAAGTTCATTCCAAATACTGCAGTCACCATAGCAAATATTGTTGCCACAAAAGTGGCAGCTGTTAGAAGCAACTCAAATTGTATTAGCTGATTCTGGACATTGGCCTGTTACATAATAAAGTTTTGAGTGAGTTTCATGAACATTACAGTGTAGATACGTGTTGTATTTAATGTATATGAAAAGTTATGCTGAAACAAAAGACATCAAGAAACAAGGGAACACTAAAAGATAGTATCCGCAAGTTAGTCTTACAAGTTTTATATTGATCAGATCCTCCGTATCATCAATATATTCTTTAAGCTGCAACACAAGAGAGAACGAACGTGAGAAATACAAATTCTTCAGTTGGAATATTGAATCAAATTAATTAGGAGGTCATGCATTATGAGTTATGGGAGAAAATCTTGGTGTATGGATTATTTGACTCTTCAATGGATGATTTTGAAGGGATTAAATCATGGATGCTATAAGTTAGGGGTCTGTGTAGTCTGCAGTATCTTTACCAGAATAATTCACACATTGAAAACTTCAAGAGCAATAACTAGGGGTAGATTAAGCAACTAGACAACATACAACATAAAGAAAAAAGGAAAGGAAGTGACTGGCGCGCCCAAGGTTGTAGAGAAATGCTAGGATCAAAACAGTAATACAAGATCTACTAAGTATACCCCCTTAATATTAATCAAATGCTAGATTACTCCCATAATTCTCCCCTTATCCGTAAACCAGAACCCAAGGCTATGTTTTAGCAAATACTCCTTCCGTTTCAATTTGTTTGTCTCACTTTCCTTTAGCCTGTTTCAAAAGAATGTCTCTTTCCTTCTTTTGTGGCAATTCTTTGACTCTAACTATCCACACAACATGTTTAAGACCACAAGATTAAATGGCATTTTGGTCATTTTACATATATCTTTAGTTTAAGACCACAAGATTCTTCTAGACTTTCTTAAACTCTGTGTCAAGTCAAAACCAGCCAAACAAATAGCAACGGAAGAAGTAATTCTTAAGATTATTTGGTAAGAATGGTAATCCAACTCTAGTTGCATTTCTTGAATCTATCAGGGAAGGAGTTTAGTTCATTCTAATTTAATTAATGTTGCAGTATAAATATAAGATTTTCTGGATATCAAGAAGAAAAGCGAGTAACGTAAGAATCTCTTACTGATGACAACTTGTTCAGAGCGCTGTCAACGACCACAAAATATGCTTCAAGCAACATTTCAAGCTGATCAATATTTTCTTGACCATTAGATGAAGCTGAAATACTTCCGTGTTTGCTTGAGCTCAAATTACTGAATGCCCGTTGCAACTTATGCACCCCGGTAGTTGATGATGCAGGTGATACTGGAGCAGATCTTGCTGCTCCTCTAATTTTTCCATATATATCCACTTGATCATATGAATCATTATTAAAATAATCCTCCTTCCTCTGTTTCTTCTCTGTTAAATACATCTCAGCCATGTCACCATCATCATCCATTAGATGTTCTATTTCATCACATACCTGAACATTTTTCGATAAGTAATTTTATTAAGGTACAGAATATGTACAAGAGGAAGACATCTGTGACTCCTATTCCACTAATACAGGTATTGAAGACATCTGTATGCCTGAACATTTGTTTAAAAGCTTAAGTGGTTTGACAGATAGTTGAGCAGTATTAGGTTACGTATACAATCATACCTTTTGGACTCGCTGAGTCAAGGCAAGCAGCTGACCTTTCAATCTACGAACTCGTTCCAGATTTAGAGTGTTAATAGATGATGCTAGTTCATCAAGCACAGGGTATACTTCCAGTTCTAATTCTTTCACCTGTTTGATTTAGAAAGACATGAAAAAGAAGTTTTGATTGAGAATATATACGTTTAATCATGAGAAATTACTGCATTTTGTTTGAGGTACTGGATACAGAGAGAGAGAAAAACATGTCGAAGTGAATTCATATTTCGGCCAACACGTCACATCATGATAATGATAAAACTAAGTAATAAGCAAAACAGACGGGATTTACTAACATCCAAGAGCAATTGATGCAAAGCACTTTGAATCCATTTTTAGTTAGCCAACATAGAACCATGAAAGCTCAACTTAAAATTGATCAAGCTGCAACTAAGCTTTAAGATATTCTATTATTCCTTTCTGCAGTTCCTTTTTTTTTTTTTATAACTGTGGTGTCCAGGACAGCTTACGCGCACATCAACTAATTCCATGGGATACCTCCCACCAACAATAGGTACTACCAGGTAACTTTTCCCTCCAAGGTTCGGACAGATGGGAAGAAATCACCTAGTATTTTTTGTCTCTGTTGAGGTTTGAACCTGAGACCTCATGGTCCTCAACACACTTCATTGACCACCATTATGCAACAATGGCACACATATTGGTGCTAGTATATTATGCCTACAATGGACAGCAAATATTCTAGTCTATTACACAAAAAGAGTTTATCAATCTGCCATCAAATGAGTCTTCTGCATACCTGAGCATCAAGAGACAAGCAAGTTAGCTCCAAAGCAAGCTCAAGGGCTCTGAACTCGAAAGGAAGACCATCTGAATTAAAACACCACTCATTATGAAAAAACTGAAATTTCATCTATAGAGAGTTTACCATATATCAAAAGAAACATCAACTAGAATAAAATAGGTTCAAACAGAGGGGAGGGGATATAGAGGATTCATCGAACAGACGCCAACAAGTTTGGGATGGTGTACTTGCTGTTGCACTGAAAGACATACGACATCATGCTAAATGAATACAAAGGAGAGAGAACGTTTCAGAATCACTGTAATTACATGCATCCCTCAAACAACAAAAACACCATCGGTTGCTGAACATGCTTCTAATAGCTATACTAGAGGGGATATCCTCCATTGCTTCTAATAGCTATAGATACTACTTCTATTGATACATAAAGATCTGCAGATACTAAGTACAGAAGTTTGATTAAATTAAAGTCAAAGATGTAAGACAGGCTGTCGTTACAAAGCTCAGGCAAGGTGGAACAAAATTTTAAGGCTAATTTTTATATTTCTTTCTGCAATTGAGTTGGTCAAAAGTAGCATTTGGCAGAAGCTACAGCCTACAAATAAGTGCATGCTACATGGACAAAAACAGCTGGATAACATAACTGTTATTAACAAACTTGGAACTAAATACCTTGAATCTTTATCAATTTCTTTCCAATATTCCTTTCAATTGAGGTCTTTATATATCCAAATTCACTGTTAAGAAAATATCATGGCTACACAGCATAAAATTTTCCAGAATTAAGTCATTACCAATAGTGAGTAATATCTCCAACTTCTAGCATCATCCAAGTTTTCCATTTTTTACTTTAATAATTGTTCTTATGCAGATTCAGGAATGGATTTAGATGCTAATTGCTATGCAACAAAGGAGCCAAGAACTATTTCCAGGACTTCTTGATCTCTCTCTCTGTATAGATATGTTCAGAAGTTTTGTTATGCTTATACAACCATATTGCCATTCGTTGATGAAATACCAGATATAAATATTAAAATAAGAAAAACCAACAACACAGAGTTTGCCCCCCACATAGAATGTCACAAGCTTTTCCCTACTCAACTGTTTCCGTTGAGGGGGACGAAGAGGTGGATCCAATCAATTTCAGCAATTCATGTTGCATTTTCTTGTGTTATGATTTAGAGTTACATGGATCTGATTCAGACATGGACAGAACAACATTCAACAATCATGCCTCAATCCCAAACGATTCCAATGTAGATGCCTTAAAAAAAATAGGCTTTCTGCATTAAGCACTTTGCTAATAAAATTATGCCAATCCAACTCTGGAAAATATAGCCTCTGTGCAATTTGTTAGTCTCTTTTGCCTTTCCAAGAGTGCGACAGGTTTTCTATGAGAAGTCGTCTTTCACTTCTCCTTTTAACCCTGGAATGCAGAATCATAAGTGCATCATATTTTCCAGATAGCATCTGAAACTTTTAAGTTTTACTTTCAATACATTAATGGTTATCTCAATATTGAACTTGGTCCAGCGGGACTAAAAAGTCACAGTTAACAGTTAAACTGGCATGGAGGGCGGAATAGTTAATTTTTTGTTAACATTATGATCCATTGGTGCAAGACAATTTAAAGCTATGTAGAGACAAAAAAGAGATAACCTAGCAATAAGCTAGATTGCACAGAACAGGAGCATCTACTGGCTTTCAACTCTTCAACAGAAACTAGCATTCACTGGTTTTCATTGCTTTGGGAAAAAACCAAGCTTTAGTGCAGAAAGATAAATAGAAATGGATTTACCCGGCTGATCTTTATTTATCTGAAGGCGTTTACACAATTCAGACTCGTATTGCAGTACACAAGCATCCAAAGAATTCATCAGTATAACCTCATCAGCTGTGATGACACATCTGATCTGTTCA